TATTTTATAATAAATATATATGTATATATAAAGCAATAATTTGGTTTTTTAACAGTAGCATAACGTCAAATTTGGTGTACTCTACTTTTTTTCAATTTAGTCATTAAAGTTATTTAATGTATAAAAATATGATTGAAAAAAAGACGGAGTTAAAGTTGAAAATACTGTCTATCACACTGTTTCATAAAAGTTGAGATTATATGTTAGTACAAAAAATGGTGATGATAATAAATAAAGTTGTACAAAAGGCAAACGGGAAACCACTGTACTTAATAATTCCCCATCATGCGCGAGTCTTATTTTCAAAAATTAACCTAATGATTAAAAATAAAAAAATTATCGTTAATGAGTATTTACGCACCGACAGTATACAGGATGATTATTATATTATAAATGAGCTATATATATGTATCACTCTTTATATATAATCTTTGAACGTTTTAATATCAATTGTTTTAGACGGATACTATGGACGTGTGTTCAAATGCTGCAATACTGGCACAACAACTTACTCTTATCGAACTAGAGAGGTTATCTTATATAGGGCCTGAAGAATTCGTCCAAGCATTTGCCAAAGACAGTCCACATGTAGATTCTTCTTTCAAAGATATGAAAAAAACCAAAAATCTCGAATCCTATATTCATTGGTTCAACAGGCTAAGCTATTTGGTAGCATCTGAAGTGTGCAAGGTATTTATCAACTATTATCTATAAATTTACATTTACAAAAATACAAAAACGTTTCCTGTTTTATTGAATTTTAGCATTCAAAAAAAAAACAACGAGTAAAAGCCATCGAGTTTTGGATCGAAACTGCTAGAGAGTGTTTTAATATTGGTAATTTTAACTCTCTAATGGCTATTATAGCTGGACTTAATATGTCACCCATCAGCCGCCTTAAAAAAACAGTAAGTATTCTATTTTACTTAGAAATGATAATCCAGATTAATGTTAATGACATTAACGTTTGTTTTTACTTAAGTGGCACAAAGTTCAACAATCAGCCAAATTCACTATTCTGGAGCAATATATGGACCCATCTTCGAATTTCAGTAGCTACAGATCCACATTAAAAGCAGCTTTGTGGAGGAGTGCTGGTGCTACGGATCAACGGCAAAGGGTTGTCATACCATTTTTCTCATTGCTTGTTAAAGACATATATTTCCTTAATGAAGGATGTCGGAACAGGTAAAAACTTTAATTGTGTACATATTGAATGTCAAATATTTGTGCGATTCGAAGAAAAATCTATGTAATCCAGTTTGACTGATGTTTAGTCAGTAAAAATAAAAAAAATTAATGCAATCATCTTTTTATTAATCTCTAATTTGGTTATTATTTAGTTTAAATGTAGAAATCATAGTATTTTTTCCTTTTATATTGAAAAAAACATTGTTGTCTAGTAAAAACAAATACACTTTTTATATGTTATCGTATTTGTCATGCCTTTTTAACTAACCAACAAAATGTTCATAATATAGATTAGACAACGGTCACATTAATTTTGAAAAGTTCTGGCAGCTAGCTAAACAGGTGACAGAGTTCATTTCGTGGAAGCAGGTGGCCTGTCCGTACGAGAAAAATACCAAACTTGTGTTGTTCTTGTTCACCACGCCTGTGCTTAACGAAAAAGGTTAATTGTGTTTATAACTTTTTCATAGCATCTTTTATTGCCCCGGCACTTAAGTTTCACCATACGTTCATTACGTATGATGTTCTGTTACTATACTCACCCGCATTTTGTTTTTACTTGCAGCACTTACGTTATTATCATTTGAACGCGAACCGCCGGACAACAGCGTAGAAAAAGAACACTACAAAACTTTAAAGTATGTACTTCAGAAATAATTTTATTATCTGAATAAAATCAGAATGCGATTTAATGAAGCTACTTTAAGTCTTTAATTGTTAAGAAAATTATTAAAACATAATTTGTAAGATTATAAAAAATAAGCTTGTATCCAAATGATACAATCTTTGTGTACATTTTTTAAGTATAAAATGTGTTCTATAATAAAATATAAAAGGATCAACTTTTATATAAAATATTAATCATAAAAAATTATTAGTATCATCCTTCAAGATACAAAATAAAATTATTTTTCAACGTGTAATTAGCTTATACATTACATTTTTATGATACTTAATCTTTTTTGGATATAACTCATGGTAATTTAAGTAACAATCGCATAACATCAGTTCTCATAATCTTATGGGAAATTAAACATTTTTTTTTTATATGAAAACTTTCTAGCCTGGAAATATTTAATATAATATTCCCAACCCGAATTGTTAAATTTATTTTTTCGTTGTTGAATAACCATACACTTTTGATTTCATTGTATTAAACTATGTTTTTCATAAAAAAATGATATATTACAGTATATCAGAAACTGTTATTGAATAATGTTACCAATAAAATTAAGACCATATTTAATTTTTTATGGTATTAAAAGTGAATTATTATCTGACAAGATATTCTGTATTAACATTATGTAATAGAATAACATATAATATAAGTTATTATTAAATAAAATACAAAACGAAAAATATAATTTTAACTAATATTTTATTTTCAGGACTGCATTGTAATATGCTGTATTTCAAATTTGGATACACAACACCGTGACTTTTTTCTTCTGATTTCTTCTAAGTCTGTTTTAAGATTTTTCAAAGCACGTAAAGGTGTAAATGTTTTTTTTTTCATTAGTTTATAAGTTTAATTATCATTGCACTCAATGCTTCCATGTTAGTATTGCGTTAATCGTAAATACAAAATGATATATATATATATATATATATATAATTATAAA